ACCAATCCATACGTTCGTACGCCAAGAAGTCTACATAATTAATGTGATTACCGGTAAACCACTGACGGGTACCCAAAAACCGGGACAACGCGTCCAACTGTTGGGGCAGTGTTTCGGCCAAATATTTGACTTTTTGGGTCTCATAGTCCTCACCAAATGAATAATTGAACGCGGGTGAAAAGTTGAACGCAAAGCTCCACATAATGTCCACCAACTGTTGCTCCAACACATCCTGGCGTACGAGTCCGGTCTCGTCGGTGGCCACGAGTCCGTGCTTTCGGGCCAAGTGTCGCATAATGGCATTGCTTTGGGTTATTTTCACAGCACCATCCATATAGTAGGGAATGTTGGGAAAGTCGAGGCCCAGGGTGAATTTCACTTTATACCATTCAGCTCTAAATTCATCCAGACTTTTGGCGTCACCCGTGCCGTAGTATTTGTCGGTGAATTTTACGCCCGCATACTTCAACAAAAAGCGTATGGGTTGAGTCATACCCCGCACTTTATAATAACCTAAGGTAGGAACCGATATATTGGCCATGTTTGATAAATTTGTTATTAAAATATAACTTTTATAAATCACAAATCGGGTGATAAAATAATTAATTTCACTTATTATATAAATTATGTTTCACTGTTAGGTGCACTCGTATTTATATAGACAGGCTATTTATATAGAGGTAGTATAAACAATATTTGTTTATACAGTTGCTTTGGCAACATTTAACTCATTTTCAGTCCCTGATTGTCCTTAATTGTCCTTATACGTTGATATGTAACTTATATTTTACCACAATGTAGTGAAAATTAAGGAATTTAATTACCTTTATATTTCTCAATACGAATAATTAAATAAGTTTATGTTACTTGCATTATAAATCAAAAAGTAACATACAATTTGTATAACTTATTATGTTGACTTATAATTTTAATATACAGGCATGTGCACTGGAATTAAAATAATGCACTAAATGTGGACTTAAAATGTGAACTTTTTAAGGTTATATCAATATTCTTAATAAATTATAAAAACATTGATTCAATATAAAATCACAATCAAATATTAATTCTGGGTTTTATATTTATTAATAAGCTAATAATATTATTTAGTATTATTTTTAATTTGTTAATTTTATTTAATGTTGTAAAAGTTTAGATTTTTTATTTTTTACATTGTGTTTTTTATTAAGAATTTGTAATAATTATTTTTAGTAATTTTAGTTAGTATTATATTACTAATTAAAGTTAGTACTATAATAATTACAATCATTTAATCAAGTATGATATTTGATAGGTGATATTCAAATACTTGCATTACTCAATATAACAATTATAACAATTATTGTTCTTAATATTAATTCAAGCAATCACTTTAATATAAGTATACAAATTATATTAATATACAATAATATAATATAATATAATTATATAATATAATTAATCAAGTTGTGAACAATAGAAATCAACTATAAATTAAATGAATTAAGCTAATTTATTGCATCAGTGTAAATATAACGTTAAAATCTAACAGTTAGATAATATATTTAATTGCATTGAAGGTAGATTTAGTGGGGGAAAATAATTTGTTATATTCAAGGATATTTTACTTTATTTCAAACTTACAGTTACCAACAGCATGTTTTAAGTGTAATATTTATTTAGTATGATTATAGTTGGTATAAATAGGAGTGGCTTTTGTGATATGAAACCATAACTTAAGTATAAGTTAATAGTATTTCATTGTTTCGCTCAGTATAACTGTGTTCATAACAAAAATTACTTAAATTTTATATATTTTATACCAAAATATACAACATGTCCAACACATCGGTTCCCACATTAGCCTATTTCAAGACCAGGGGTAGAGCTCAACCCATACGACTGATGCTGGCGTATGCGGGCGTGAAATACAACGATAAATACTACGACAGACCGGGCGCTGAAGACATGGAAGCGTTTAAAGTGGATTGGCTTAAGGAGAAATTCACCCTGGGCTTTGACTTTCCCAACCTGCCATATTACATCGATGGTTCTAAGAAACTGACCCACACTAAAGCCATTATGCGACACTTGGCCAAAAAGCACGGACTCGTGGCCACCGACGAGACCGGACTCGAGCGCCAGGATATGGTTGAGGAACAGATGTCAGACATTCAAATGGAATTTTTTATGAGCGTATTTACCCCGAACTTTGAAACGGCAAAAGTTAAATATATTGCCGAAACACTACCCAAACAGTTGGATGCTTTGTCCCAGTTTTTGGGTACCCGTCAGTGGTTTACCGGTAATAGCATTACTTACATAGACTTCTTTGCGTACGAACTGCTCGATTGGTTCCGTCTCTTCAGTCCTGAGACCGTCAATAAGTACCAGAATTTGGTTCAATTCTTAACCCGTTTTGAGAGTTTACCGGCGATTAAGGCATACATGAAATCACCGGAGTTTATAAGTTGGCCACTGTTTGGACCAACCGCTCCGTGGGGCTTTAAAAAGTAAATTTTAGATTGTGATTTAATTTAATACTTACTTGATTTAATAAATATTAAAATCAGATTTTTATTAGTACACAAATTACTTATTAATTAATTAAATAAACATAGAATGTAATTATATACATATGTATTTATTTTATTAATTAAATCGATAGAAACCTATGATTAAAATTAATATTAATTTTGTCGTGCTTTCGGGCCAAATATTGCATTGTTACGATCCGGGAGTTCACAGAGTACCTAGGTACTTGTCCCCGTGACTCCTGGTCGGATAATCTGTAAAATATAACTTAAATATACAGATTAATAGAGTATTTAAAGAAACAGACATTAATTTATATAAAAAACATTTAATTTTATTAAAAATCTCAATGAATAACATATCCGACATAGTATGCATACTAAACATTACAAATAGTTAACATTTAATTAACTTATAAACTAATTATAAACTAAAATATACAAAAGTTTCATGTTTGCCAAAGAGTCCTAACTCTAAACCCTAACTAACTATTGCTATGCTCTCAAAAACTCATTTTTTTTCCATCAGTTTATCATTCATACAGTTTTAAACAAGTTTTACAATAATTGTTAAATGTAACTTGATCATTTACAAGTACACTGTGTATACGTAATGAGTGCAAATGAGTTCCACAAATAGGTATATAAAAAACTACTACTGTATAAGAATACTGCTGT